ATCGTCGAGTATCGCACCTTGGGAAGAGTAAGACTCCGGAAAGGTAAAAATCTCGCGAATTGAGTTACTGCCGCCCACACGTGTGGAAATGTTTGGATATCGCTAGTATCTAAGTGGCATGTCAATATATTGACGCGCAAGTTCACACAAATCTTTATTTTTCTTTGAAAGATGATCTTTCGATTTTAACATAATTACATAAAATTGGTACTAATAAGAAGTACCAAGAATACAATAATATTATTTTTCTGTATTTTTACGATATAACTTATTAATTAATTATAACATTTCATATTTTTATATATTTTGATCTTTCACACTTTTTCGGTATGACATACCCGGCTTTCTTTTTACAATGCTTTTTCCATTTCTTATAATTTTTTTATTAATAAGTATACATACATTTGTTATCGTTATGTTTTTTAATGTCTAACGTTTCAACTAAAAAATTTTTTTATAATGTCTTTATTTTTATGAAAGTTCTAAACAATTGAATTGATTGAGTATGCTATACACCAGTAAGTTGTTTTTTTTTTTCATTTTAAGAAAGAGATCAAATTTTATAGAAAGAAAGTACTGTGTGTGCATTAAATAATACATAATTTTAGTGTAAAAGCTATAAAACTTAACATAATATATGATTTACAAAGAAAAACCAAATCGAAATATCAAATTCATATCGCCCAGATAAAATCTCGACTTGTTGATATTTACGTAGTAGGCGTCGGTAGTTAATACATGCTGCGAAGTCGATCTCTGATCTCTGTTCCGTCTGTATTTCTGCAAGCCACCCAGGTGTGAATGCGTCCAGGAGCAAAAGGATTGCGGGGTAAATTACCGGTAATAATTTCCAACTGATAAGAACGACGCGCGTCACTCTTTCTCTCTCTTTCTCTTTTGCGGTTAGCGGGCCGTTTAATTCAGTTTAACCAATCGGCCGTATCCGTCTCTTGCAGAATGGTATACGATTAGGGTGAGGTATTGATACCGGGAGGCATCGGTATCGCAGTTATTTACGAGGCATTCCGACAGTCCTCACCTACCTATCGAGAGCCACAAATTCCCACATCCTACGCAGACTTTACGGCAGATGAATCGGAATATTAATTACGATTTCCGCGTAAACGCGATAATCGAGAATCGAGAAAAGAATTCTTCGTATTATTTATCGAAACAAAAATTTTTAAATATATTCTTAATTCATTTATTTTATATGTTTGAGTAAAAAATCTTGTTTCATTCAGAAAGAGAGAGAAAAAGAGAGAGAGAGAGAGAGACAGAGAGAGAGAGAGAGATTTGAGAGATTTAGATTTTATGTTTTTTAATTCTGATCTTTAAAACTGCAAAGTAAAGATAGATTGAGGAAAGTAAAGCTACAAGAGAGTATTTACGGAATAATTTTTTAAAACAAAAATATATTTTTACTATTAAAGCAAATTTCTATACTTTTTAGAAAAAAAAATCCTTTAATACTTTGGTTTTCTTGAGAAAAAATTTCGATCTTATGGAATTGCATTTTCACGTGTAAGCTAAGCGTAACCGTCATCCGGTGTGTACCTACTTACATAAGGTGCGACGGAGCCCCGTCGTTCACCTGTGAAATCACCTGACGTATTGGCTGCTAGCAGCCAACCACGATTAGACATCCGGTGATTTTCTAATATTATGTGCGAGCAGGCGATTTGTGTTTTCATGCATGACTTCATTGTTGGCGAGCTCAGTGATTGTAACGGCGATCGTATTGTCTTCCAACAGATCGCGATGTAATCGATTCGTAATCTCGCGATCGCGTGTTCGTGGATCTATTAAGATACACGGCGAATTCCAAATATATCGAGTAAAGTACGAATGGTTGTGTAATTATGCCGATATGATTCATTTAACCCCCAGAACATTATCAATATTGAATGATACAATCTTGCTATTGATACGTAAATTTATGTATAGGAAAATAGGCCGCTCTTAATTCATTTAACACAAGTCTTTCATACATTTTACACTTTAATGACGAGATATTTATAATTTAGATCTTTATAAATAGCCTCATTATTAACTTAAAAAGAAAAGCAGAATAAGCACAGTGTCAAGTTAAATCTTGAAACGATGTGAAGTCCGATTATGGAATATGTAGTCCGATTGTTGTGTATATTACTTCATAAAACTCAAAATATAGATATAATAAACACAAAATAATAAATTGCTTAACAATTTAATCACTTTTTAATTATACTCTATTATATTATTGATCACTAAGGGTCAGATTGTTATATAATAACGAATAGAGTTTTTAATTGCTTATCTCCATTTGCTTTAAATTTTAATAGATTGAATCTTCTATGATCCATTTAAAGCATATCTTAGCATTAAATAATCTCGCTCATTTGTATTTATCATTTTAGAATTAATACATTGCATATAATTTCTGTTAAGCAGCGTCAAGTTTTTCATTTTCTTCCTATTAACATACGTATTCCATAGCGCATAAAAAGAATAATTGATTCTGAATAATATTTTTATAATTGTAATGGAGGATTATATACGACGATATCTATTTACACACGCAGAGAAAAGATTAGCCAACGCAGCTAAAATATAGCTGCAGTGTCAGTTAAAATGTATCTTTATAATAGAGACAGCTAATGTCGTTGCTGCTAAAGTTTAATTTATTAACTGCTGCCTAAAATTTAGGTGCTGCAGCGAAAAATATTCTCTGCTAGAATAAAATGGTAATCGGCAACGTCCCAGAAATAATTGCGAATGGAATGTTTGATTAAGATAGAGAAATAGCTGTCATTTACTTAGCTACTCATATTAAGTATGCTTTTAATTTTAACTAATAATGGTTAAATAAAATAAGAGGTTAAACGTCGGCAGCAAATGTATTTTATCTTCAATAACCAACTTTTAATAATAAAAGCAAGATTTGAACCAGCAATTATTATTGGTATTTAACTGATACTACTAAGTTCTTTTTTTGCGTGCATAGTTTTATTTAGTTACATAATACAATTGAGTGTGTCAGGACATTCTCTGATAACGACTCTGTAACGACTCTCTTAGGGCCACTTTGACCAACTCTGATTAATTTTAAATAATTAAACAATTAATTTATTGGAATTGACCAATCGCATTGGTCAACAACAGATGCGATTGGCCAATTCCAATGGACTAATCGTCGAATAAAGTGAATCGGAGTTGGTCGAAGTGACCTTTAGAGATTACTGAGGTGGCGGAAAATTTTTTCGTTGTGAAAATTTATAGGAAGTAGAAATTTTATGAAGAATAGGATTATATCAGTAGAGAAGAGATTTTAATAAATTACCGAATTTTGGCTACAATATAATGAATTATCAGAATCCTTTTAATAATTGCAAAAACTCTATGTAACAGATTATGAAAATCATTTTGCAATAATTGTAAAACTTATTATATTGAGTCGTATTAAGTTACTAGATACGATCACCGCGTGATCCTATGCTACCTATGATTTAATATTTTTTTGCAGGTGGCAGTACTCGTTATGATAAAGTTATATACGGTAGTCGAAAGCGAATACAAAATGTAATATTAATTATTATTAGCTAGCTCGCCGGAGCGTAAAGCCATGCTCATATTTTAGTTTCACTATCGCGCTTGTCTCGGTGCCATTAACGTAACTCCATATACAGAAATATCAATCCATCGTCGCCATGTCTCTGCCATAACTGAATGAAATGAGAGAAATTATTCTATCAGATTGCATTTTACAGTACATCATACGCGCCCTATATATCGCCTTACATCGAAAGAACTAGCTCGTCTGTTTCGTAATTTTTATCGCGCTACTAATATGTGAATATTTATAGAAAGTTGTCAAAACATGCAAAATAGTTCATTATTTGTCAGTTCTGTACATGCGTTATACACTGGGCAACAGAATTAACGCAACACCTGTTCACTCTGCAAAAATAGGCAAATTTCAAGATACAATAACTTCGTCAAAAATTGTCATATCGGGATGTTTAAAAAATTTTACAAATAGAAACCTCTATTTTTTGGATCACTACATAAAAAAACGGTCTCATGGAGATTTTATAAAGTTACACAAACATAAATGAAGATATATCAGATTTCAAAATTTTTTATGAAATTTGCGAAGCTTCACGAAGTGGAATAAAAATTGTATACAAATGTGATTTACATCATTCGAAAGAACGAATCTTTACCTTTTGCTTTTTTACGAAGCTCCGTACGATTTTTTTTTCATCCAGTTATTTAACGTTGAAGCAAAAGGAGCAAATTTTGTTCTATAAGATTTTTTTCAATTTGCAATTAATTTGAAATATTAATCGGTATCTTATCATTATTTGATCCAATGTTTTAAGACAATTTCCTTTCGTGTTTGGAGTGAATCATTATCTCTCATTAGCTTTTCTTCTTATTAATAAATATTTTTTATATTATGTAGTTTAATGTTTTAACTACATCATACATTTTTCTCAAAAGTTATATCTCATAAAACAATCATTTTATATTCTCTATTTTTACAATAAAACATTTTTTTTGCAATAATATTAAATGATAATTTTGTATATAAGAGTAAATTGATTATCTTAAAAAAATTAAGTAATTGCTGCCGTGATATCGTCTTTAAGTAAGTCACTTTAATATTGTTGAATGTACATCAACAAATTTAATTGTGACTTATCCTTAGACATGCAAAGGATAAAATTTTAATGTTTGTATTGCTGAAGAAGACTCCAAAAAGAGTCGATACGTTCAAAGATTATTGGATAAAAGTTCACGAATTAGTTTTGCGTACTAATTATCGCCGACTCTCAATCGTCCTGGCTTTTAATTTTTTGTTTTAAATTTGGGAGAGTTTATTGTGGAAAATTATTTGTGAGATATTTCTGAAAACTTTCGGTGCTGTGTGAGTTTATTTAAGAATCATCTTAAATACAACAAGTGATTTATTAATTTCTCTAAAATAATGCGTCAAATTTTTTCTAAAATTATGCGTAAATAAATTCATTCGCTTAATTCACTATTATCTCGTCACATTTTTTATCACTTAGAAGGGCGTATGCTTTTCCTCAGAAAACATTTTTCAATCGGTTTAACTAGAGGATACAAAGATTGACTATTTTTAAATGACAAAATATCATCGATTTTCTTAACTTCTTCATCAGTTGATAAATCAGCAATTTCTTCAATTGTGCTGTCAGATGAGCTCTTTTCCGATGACGTGGATATTACATGTATCGACAATTTACGTCGATTCTTACTATGTACATTTTCCTAGAAGATTTTTTACACGATAGATGTACTATATTAATTTTTCAGCTACTAAAGTTATTTTTCTCAAAAGTTATATCTCATAAAAAAATCATTTTATATTCTTTATTTGTATAACAAAACATTTTTCTTGTGAAATAATATTAAATGATAATTTTGTATATAATATAAGAATAAATTGATTACCTTAAAAAAATTAAGTAATTGCTGCCGAGATATCGTCTTTAAGTAAGCCACTTCAATATTCTTTCGATCGAAGTTATATTGTTGGAATTGGATCTCATTCCAGTACAAGTCACACCTTGCAGTCAAATTTTTTGGTTTTCCAAAAAGTAATATAGCTAAAGCTTTCTTATGTTCTTCAAATTGTTCTTCTGTCATAGTAGATATGTGATTCTGGAATTTAATTATTAGTAATATTCACTTTAACAAAAATACAGAAATATATTTATCACATAAAAACATAAAGTAATATAATTGATTATGATATTATACGATACAGTGTGAAAAATGTAAGAAAAGAAAATGTAGTTTTATTAATCAATGCATTAATATGTACTACTATTTTGTACATTGTTGAGAAGTTTGAATCGATTGGATTATTGTATATATCACATGTTATGTGTTTCAAACAGTTCACTTAAATTTTTGTGACTATTTAACATAAGATGAACGTGTTAGAAAACAACACGGACATTATCCATTAAAAAACAATTATTATATAAGAAAGGTACTCATAAACTTAATATTGACACAGATTGTAAATAAAAGTATATTTTTTAGTATAATTAACATTTGTAATATATTAAATTAAGTATTTCATTCAGTCGTCTTGGAATTTAGGCTTTAAAACACATTGTTTTTATGTTACTTGGTCACTCATAAATTATGTCATTTTGGCTCTAAGAAATGTTGAATACCAATTTAACACAACATTTTTAAATAACATAATCATTATGTTAAATTAACTCCCAAATACATTAAAAAATTCAACACAAACGGTTAACAAAAACATAAGTGGATTCTAACACAAATACATAATATTTTTTACCATTTAAATTATGATTACTTACCAACATGGAGTCTAAAAATAAATTGATTCGTTTTTCGACATATTGTGGATGTTTATCACTTTGTACAACGATTTGCAAGCCTTGTATTCCAATCGATTTATGTATACCACTAAATACTATATAGCCTAATTGCTCACTAGTTCTTAAAGTATTAATGCAAGGTTCCGCAATAATTTGTGCTAAAAGTTGTAAGAGCATATTCGACTCTGTTGATTGTAAACCAGTTGGATAATATACCATTATACAAGAACTTTTATCTGAATTATTTTCTGTTTCAAACAGAAAGTGGCAACCTATAAACACATATTACATTTTATTACAAATTGTTGCATACTATATCATATAAACAATAATAATTTAAAATCTAATCTAATTTCTAAGATAAAAATTTTATTATAGATAAAAAAATGACTTCAATAACAAATAATTTTGTGTTACTTCTATTTTAATCTATTTTAATATAAAAAAGGAAGATACTTCATATATTTCTTTTCTATATTAAAATATTATAGATTAGGTTGTTCATTTTCATATTTATAAATTTTTTCTATTTACAATAAACCTAGTATTTATACGAAACTGTTAGAAAATAGAAATAATAAAATTTTTTATGTTGAAATTCTTTAACGGCCAATTGTACCAACGTTACTTTAACTCTAAACAAGGAACTTAGAACTCTGTTTCTCTTTACTTCTCAATCGGCTTTAAAAAAATCCATGTAATAGAAAGGAGATCAAATTCAAGCAGCCGGTCGTAAAAAAGGATTGATTCAAGCTTCGGAAAATCATTTTATGATTTTCCGATTAATAGATCCGAGTAAACCTGTCGGAGAAAACTGTAAACTAGAAGATTTTTCAACAGTTCGTGTGCGCTCGCTAATATCAGATGTTTGAAATATTGATCCATTCACATTTTAATCAAATAGTATAACATTTTATGTAAATTAGAATTTGCGTAACAAAAATAAAATGTACATATGTGTATATGTGTAGTCGTCCACATTATCATGTAGTTCAGATAATATTTTCAACTTTTTCTTTAATATTCTCAATGTACATTTTTCGAAGCCGTGTTTTAAAGCTACTTTAAATTTTTGAGTTTGATCTTCTTTTTATTCCACGAGAAGATTAAAGTATCGTTAGTGCAATCGGCATAAGCATATTAATTTTTTTAAATTATCGTAAATGAAATTTGATCATGTTATATGCTTACCATTTTCTAATTTAATTTCACGGGGCAATATTAATTGCTGTTCTAACAAGGGTATTATGTTGGGCACTCCAGTTGTCAACTTAAACTCAATTAGTTTAAGTATATCTGTAGCTTCCGTTACAGTCACATTACCATATATCAAGCACTCGACGTGCACCTTACTGAGTAACTGTGGTATAAACTGCTGGAGTCCCTCGACATTTAAATCTATCATAGAATAAATAATATGATCATAAATATATTATAAAAATATTTATTGTACATTATTAATATGTAATTGTTCCAAGAACTAAAAGAAATTTAGAAAAAAAAAAATTTTTTACAAGTACGAAGTAAAAGTACAAGTCCTCTCTTATGCTTACAGGTAGTAGCTTCCAGTAATTCTTCCTCGAGCAAAGCTTTCTCTTCTAATAGGACTCTAAGATAATAGCAAGCATGTTCATCAGACTGTTTAGCAGCAAAATCTTTCATGCTCCTGATATACTGTAATAATTCTACATAAATATGTTATTTAATTAAATTAAAAGTATTGATTGTATTTATTGTACGTACATTTTCCTTCAAAATTTCAAATCTCTTCGGAGCAACTTCAAAATTTATCATTCGATCCATGAGTTTTTCTAACAGGCCACGTTGTTTGTCATCATAACCATCTATAGAGAGCTATCAAAAGTATTGATATTTCTTTTAAATTATGAATATATTTTTATAAAACAGTTGATAAACATTATTACATAGGAATAGAATAGAGCATTTTTACGAATAATAAATTAGAAATAAATGATTTATGAATAAGGAATTTATGTATATATGTGAAATAGCATTTGTTTTAAACATTGTAATATTAATAACAAATTGAACAAGAACTTATTCGAATAAACCTTTAAATTTATTGAAATAATATACATTATATTTTATTATTATTATATATTAGGTGTACAAAAAAGTTCTGAGCTTTTTTTTGTAAAATTCAATCTTTATTTAAAAACAAACGAAAAAATATGGCTTGCTGCGTAACGCCAAGCTGTTCTGCAAGCTCCTTTTCAGTTTGCGCAGAGTTTATATCCAGCAGTGCTTGCAATTCGTCCGTTTCAATCTTTTCAGGGCGTCCAGCACGCGATTCATCTTTAAGACTGAAATCTCCTTGGCGAAACTTTTGATACCACCTTTTGCATGTTGCATGACTTACAGCGTTCTCTCCATATGCAGCACAAATCATTTCAGTGGCTTCAGCAGCATTTTTCTTCAGATGAAACGCGAAGTGGATGGAAAATCGAATATGCTCTTTTGTAATTGCCATCGTGAACACTACTGATTTTTGAGGTTATGTGCATCAAACGCCAAACCGTATCGCATTTCAGGAGGTTAAATGTTACTGTTTTAAAACCCCAAAAGGGCGGGAAGATATATAAAATTTAAATTGTTATTTCGGTTGTATCAAATCTAAAGCTCAGAACTTTTTTGTACACCTAATATATGTACTCACTGTTATTCCATATTTAAAATTATTTAGTTCCCATCGTAAACCAGCTAAATCAGTAGCATATGTATATTCGTCAAGAGAATCACGAAACAGATCAGCAAATATATTAGTATAATTGTAACTAAGGGGACCCATAGAAACAAATGGACTATAAATTAGAGACAAAACAAACATTGTGCATAAGTATAGAAAATGTTTTTTTGTTATAGGGAATTATATTTCATTCTCATCTTTAAATATTTTAAGAATCATAATTGCAAAATTAAGTTTATTTTTTTTAAGTAATTTCAATAATAACCAACTTATTAATATTATGGGATGTATAATACATTATAATATCTACTAATCTCATCATATTGATAATTAATAATAAAAATCATTTAAATTATCAGACTATTTCAGAATTACATTTAAAAATATTTCAGTATTACATATTCGATTAAGCAGCAACATATCTTTCACGATTACTTAATACATACCTGAAGAAAGCGAAGATCATCTTAGCTTTAGGCACAAGAAATTCATCGTCTTTTTTATACCAAAGTCTTACAAATAATGTATCCTCCAAAATAATGGGAAATTTGTCAACCTGTAAAATTTCAAAACTTTTTGTTAATATATACAATAATATATAAATATAATCATAATGAGATCAAATACGATAGGGCAACCATGTTCAAAAACAACTCAAAGCTAAAATTGTTGCATCTCATTTTTTTTATTTATGTACGATCTCTTAGCTTTCTGTTGTAAACTAATCTTTAAATATCGGCATATATTTTTGTAAAATTAGTACAGAAATATATATAATATTTAAACGCATTTCACATGTATTATTATATAAAAACTATATATGTGTAAAAGAGACAGAATTTACTTAAAGTTACTCTAACATTAATTAAATTCTACTTCATGTCAAATATCACGCTTACTATAATTTACGCTTCATAGAGATTTTGCTTTGAGTATCATGATGTAATCAAAAATTAATATTATGAAAAATAATATTTTTAATTACATTAGTTTGTGGCTTGATATCAAATGTAGTTGCTATAAATGCATTCTTGACAGGCAATTTCAGGTCGTCATTAAAGCCAGGGGAATTCCATGTGTCTATTATTTCCTTGGATAGCTTCACTTTCTTATATTTAGTGCCATACCAACATTCAATTTCATCAGCTATATTTTCATATGCTTTTGCAGTTATATAAATTATAATATTTTGTGGGATCAAATATCCCATTATTTCCTCGATTAAGTTCGGCCGCCAATTAGAGTCCGCGCATGCAGAATCATTCATGGTGACTTTTTGCAATTCTCGAACCTTAAGTAACACATAAGTAAGAGGCGAAATCTTTTCTATAAAATGAGCGTTTATATCTGTTATATCTTGATATTCCTGCAAATGTACAAAATGCATTTTATATTTAATATACGATATTGTAGTACAAAATGTCTTTTAAATTGCGATCGCATAATTTTCCGGACATTCTACATAATTATAATTTATTTCATTAATTACGTCGTAGATCCATTTGATTGGTCCTTTCAACTTAAGCATATTGATATACTGAAATACCATTAGAACAATATCTTCGATGTGCTTAATACCTTCTTCGGTCAAATCGACTAAAATATTAAAAATACTGAAGCCTCTGGCGGGAAAACGTAATGTGGATGATATAAAGTTACACCATCCTTTAGCCTTCAAAGCCGATAATAATGAGCCTTCTCCTTTATGCCCAAGCAAATGAGAAACGTAAAGTCCAGACTATATTGATAAATAAACAATAAATTTAAATAAATAGATACCTACATACACGCACGCACACACACATATACAAGATGTCCTATTTTAAATTCCCAAGGCAAATATCTCGTAAAATATAGGAAATGTAGAAAAATGTTTTAAATAAAAAAGTGGAACGGTTTCGAGAGGGATGTATTTTTATCAAGTTGTTTTTTTCTTGAGAGGCTCTCTCTTGGAGGCGTCAAAAAGATATACAGATCGTCTCCACCCTTTTAAATTGTATGTTTTTTTATACAATATGATTCTTCTAATTATTCTGCATATAAAAGTATTAAGGTAGTGATATTAAAAAAACCAATAGTTTACGTGTTATTTAATATTTTATGTCAATATGTGCCAGAATAAAATATCTCATAATATCTCGTCGCCCCCGAAACCGTCCTACTTTCATTTGAAATATTGTTCTATATCTTCCATATTTTTCGAGATATTTGTCTGAGGAAATTAAAATGAGACATCTTATATATAAAGTGTCCGATAATTTTTCTGACAGAATTCGTGGAAATGTAGAGCGGACTAAACTGAGACAGAAAGTCCTCATTTTACAATTTTCCCAATAGTTAACGAAATACTAATCTCTAAAGATCGCCGAATACGTGCACGTCTACCTTACTAGTATCAAATGTACGCCCGTCGCTAGCTCGGCGTGCGGGCCGCGGAATAGTCTAGCAAGGCTTGCCAGGCATTTAAAATTGTAAAATAGTAG